TATATTTTAGCTGAGTTTTTATTTTCAGCTTATTAAAAAGAAGTTCTTCAAGTTTAAGTCTGAGTTCAAAGTATAAGCAGCACTAACCTCCACAAGTCCCAACCACATTCCAATGTGTTCATGGTTAGCTCTTTAAATCTTCACAACAACTCTCAGAGGTGGGTCTGCACTGTTTACAGTTAAAAAAAAATGAAGCTCAAAGAAGTGAAATAACTTCTCCAGGGCTTCACAGTGCCAGAAACAGTCTGACTCCAAGGACCATGGTCTTTGCACTGCGCCAAGCTGTTTAGTATTTATAGATCCCCCTTTTTTTTTTAATGAAGTTTTATTTATTTATTTTTGTGAGGAAGATCAGCCCTGAGCTAGCATCCATGCTAATCCTCCTCTTTTTGCTGAGGAAGACCGGCTCTGAGCTAACATCTATCACCAATCCTCCTCCTTTTTTTTTCCCCCAAAGCCCCAGTAGATAGTTGTATGTCATAGTTGCACATCCTTCTAGTTGCTGTATGTGGGACGCGGCCTCAGCATGGCCAGAGAAGCGGTGCGTAGGTGCGCGCCCGGGATCCGAACCTGGGTAGCCAGTAGCGGAGCATGTGCACTTAACCGCTAAGCCACGGGGCCGGCCCATATCTTATCTTTTTTATAGTTAGGCTTTTTAAAAAATGCTTTTTCGAAAACTTTCCAAAAGAAAATCTGTATTGTGTGGCAGTCTGTTGCGTTAGCGGCCCCAATGGGCTATGTACCCTGGTAGTCATGTGTCTGTACAATTTCCTCCCCTTGAATCTGGGCTTGTGACTGGCTTTCATCAACATAATGAGGTGGAAATGATTCTGCGTCAGGTCTAGACATCAGCCTTAAGAAGTCTGGCAACTTCTATTTTTGCCCTCTTGAGAGACCTGAGTGGTTATGTCAGAAGTATGGCTACCCACCTCGGAGCCCATGTGGAGGGAGAGAAAGGCCCAGCTAAACCAGTGTCCCAGCTGCTTCCTGCTCCAATCCATTCCCTCCAAGGAACCAGCCATGTTGGCAAAGCACTGTCTTGGATGTCCCAGCCCTGGTCACCCTCTGACTGTCTCCTTTAAAATATGTATTTTCACGACTTTAGGGTACAAATGGAGACCAGCAGAAGAATTGCCCAGGTGAGACCCACTCAACTCACAGAATGATGAGCACATAAAGTGATTTTGGTTTAATCTACTAAATTTGGGGGTTCTTTGTTACATAACAATAACTGAAATAGAAATTCACACCTGGAACTGAGGTACTGATGTGAGGTACTGATGTCTAAAACATGTGTCATTGACTTTGAGACTGGCTGCAGCTCAAGGCAGTCAAGTGACTTCCAGGCAGCCACAGAATCAGGAAACGGTGGGGTCAGGACTTGAATCTAGGTCTAACTGCCTTTCCACTACACTTCACTATCTATTTTTTTTTTCTGGTGAGGAAGATTGGCTCTGAGCTAATATCTGTTGCCAATCCTTCTCTTTTTGCTGAGGAAGATTAGCCCTGAGCTAACATCTGTGCCCATCTTCCTCTATTTTGTATGTGGGACGCTGCCACAGCATGGCTTGATGAGCGATGCATATGCCCGTGCCCAGGATTTGACCCTGTGAACCCCAGGCCACAGAAGCAGAGCGTGAGAACTCAACCACTATGCCGCCAGGCTGGCCCCAACACCTCGCTATCTTAAGCCAAAAAGACCACTTCTCCTCAGCAGTAAGCAAATGCAATTATAACCCTTAATGTTGGTGTCACACATGATTCACTTCACTGTTTACTTTTTTTTCTTTAATTGTACAATGGTACATTTTTTCTCAAGGAAATTACATGATGCTTGAGCGCAGAAAGAGCTTCTTTGATGCCCTTTGTATTTCACATAGTAGTTAGCAAATTTGGGGCTACAAAATTCCTCCCCATGCCCTGTGTATTTTGCATCAGCTTCATAGGGCTGTTGACCACTCCCCATGTAGTTTGGGACCTCTGCACCTATGAACATCGTTCTTTGTGCCTCTGATTCTGTCCTCACCTTGTGCACCTATGAACTTCTCATCTTTCAAGGGTCAGTTCCCATATCACCTTCGAGAAACAGCTCTTGGCATGTTAGTCTGCCCTCATAAAGAACAAACTCTCCACTGTAGGATATGAACTGTTCATGCACCTAGAACTATCTGTTATGAGCTGGGTTCTGTTGGACTAAGTCCTAAAGTTGGATAGGCTCAGCAGCTGTTCATTGTAAGATAGAAATGGCCCATCCAGATTGAGCCTGAATAGGACCAGAGGGCACAAGTAAGCTGCATGAATAGGTAGCCCAGACCCCCACCCCAGCCCCTTGTCACCCACCACATTTGCACCAGTTTGCACTTATGGCTGTATGGGGTCTGGAGGAGAAACCAATACAACTGGCTGAAGAAGAGGAAGAAGTTCAAGCCCCAGATCAAGAAAATGTGTGTAAGGTGCCTGCTACTTTGTAGGCAATCAACAAATCATTGATAGCTTCTTTGATTTCTGTTTTATGTGCTGGCGGAGGTCACTGACACATGGCTGGCCTAGGTAGTTATTCTCTTTACTCTTATACAGTGATTCTCCTTCTGTGAGAGGCTGCCTGAAACTTATGAGATCACATGTGCCCCCACTTCCTTTCTCATTAGCTTGCTTCTTGCTTAGCTTGTTGAAGGGGGAAAAAAGTGAACTTTGCATTAACCGTGTGTGTGTGTGTGTGTGTGTGTGTGTGTGTCTGTGTGTGTGTATGTGTGACCAGTAGTGGCTCTTGACATTTCCTACTCTTGGACAGAGCAAACCTAAGAGTTTTACTTTTAATCTTGAGTAAATAGTAAGAATAAATCACGTTCCGCCCTCACTCCCCTCCCACCCCAAACAAACAAGTATGCAAACAACTGGAGGGGCAATATTTCACCAAAGCTCTCCCTTTCTCCTCCCCCTCTAGAAGCTTCAGACCAGGAAGGTGGGAGAGTAGGGCTGGGGCCAGAAATGGCAATGTAATGCTGGGGCAATTATGACCCCAAGGCGAGTGGGAGCTGAGGTCTTTTGCAGGAGAAGTTGGAGGAGACCTGGATAATTTGGAACCAAGGAGGATGGATGGAAAGGTAAGAAGGAAGGATCTAGCTCCCATAATAGTGCAAAGGAATGATCTAGATACATGGATAAATCTTTAAAATAAAATGTTAAGGAGATGGAGCAAGTTCTGCAGAATATATCTGATATTATTTACATATGGTTTGTGTATATAAATGTGTGAAACAATGTCATATATTGATGATTGACATATACACATGGAGTAAAAGTATACAGAATTGCATGGGAATAGTAACTTCAAATTCAGAAAGTTGTACTGGTTACCAGGTGAGTAGGGGACAGATGGGATGAGGGAATGAGACCAGTGGGGAGTACACAAGAATATTGCTAATGTCTTATTGTTTAAGCTGGGTGGTGAATACATAGGTGTTCACTGTATTATTATTTTTGTACTTTCTGTGCACCTTAGCTATTTGACAGTACCTTTAAAAGTTTAAGAGCCATCCCCTAACCCCAGCCCCTAGAGATGACCACAAGTGGTGTCGTCCAGACGTTTCCCTCCGCTTTGATTTTCAGTAACTGGCCGGCATCCGTCTCTCCCTGGGCCGCCCTGGCTCTGCAGAGTCTCCGGCTCAGAGTCCCCGCGTCCTTTCTGGGCAGGGATTTGAATGCGCTTGGGCAGCGAGGTAGACTCACCAGAGACCCGTTCAGACTCACCAGGGACTGAACCAGTCTTGAGAATTGAGCCAGACAGCGAGCCTCCCTGGGCCAGACTCAGTTTGGCCTCAGTTTCCTCAGCCTGGTCTACTCAGACCTCGAACTCTTGGGGAGAAGATGGGAGAGAGAGAATTTGCTGGGGGGGGGTGGAGCTCCAGCGGTCCTCCGACCTATGGGCGCGGGAGTTGGAAGTGATGAGACGAAGAAACATCTATTTACCAGAATTTTAAGAGGTCCGAGGAAGACAGAAGGAGGGCGCCCGGGGAGAGGGGCAGTTGGAGTCAGGACTGGACTGAACGCTCCAGGGATACCCAGGTGCTATTTACATCCTCGGGGGCGCGGGCTCAGATCAACTCCCCGGCAGCCCGCTCCTCGCTCTCTTCGCCCCGAGGGGCCGTCCCTTCAGTTTCCCGCAGGACCACCGCGGGGCAGCAGCGCGCGCCGCAAGTCGGGCACGTCCGGAGACTCAGTCTTGGAGACCCGCGCGGAGCCAGACCCTTTGGGAGCGTTCAGAACATGTTAGGTAATAGAATTAGAAAGAATGAAATGAAATGAAAACTGACGGTTCTGCATTAGACCCGGGTGTAATGAAGTCTGCTAGTGGGCAGATGAATCAAAAGGGCAATTTCTCTTTTCTTTCGCCAAACTGCCATCGCCCGAGCCTCCCCGGGTTCTCCCAAGCGGCGACACTCCCAGCCGGTCTCAGTGAGAGACCTTAGCAGCGATCATCACCCCTTTACAAATTAAAGCACCCGCAGAAGAAAGGAGGCAGAATCAACTTTCTCCAATTAAGAGGTGGAGGTGGGGCGAAAGCCGAGGCTTAATTCTCTCCTTCCCTCTCCGGGCAACGCTCCCACTCCCTGGCCGCTGATGGGGCGATTCGAGCCGCAATCGAGAGGCTGGAGGCGTTGGGGAGAGAGAGCTTCGGAGCGCGCCCGAGACTGGGGCGGCCGGGGGGGGCTGGAGGACGTGGGGCTGCGCCCGGATCTCCCTCCTTGGGTGCGGGTGAGAACCGCGAATCTCAAAAAATTTAATCAGAAAACATAGAGAAGCAACAAAGAGCCCCCGCCTCCTCAAAAAAACACCCCACCCCACCCCATATCCACCAAAGGTAACCAAGGCTGTTGTCTTCGCAGGAGAGGGTTTCCAGGTCCACAGAAGCGGTGCTGTTGGGCTGTCGCTCTATATCCTGCGCGGTGCCCCGCCCCGTAAGGTGTCACCGAGTTCCGCTGATAAAAGGACCAGAACCTGCAGGGTCAAGGCCTCTGTTCTGGACTTGGGAGGCCCCATCGCTTTCTCCCGGAGGGTGGCGCGCCGCAGAGGAGAAACCTTGGCCGGTAACGATTGCCCCGCGCTCCTTTGCACAGGTCTTCCAAACGCTCGGCTTCTTTCCCTCCCCGGCTCCGCGCCCATCCGCTCCCGGCTGTGGAGAAGGGGGGCGGTGCGGCGGCCGCAGCCCCCGGGCCTGGGCATTGCCCCAAGAGCTCCTTTCCCGCTCTTTGACTCTCAGTAGCAACTTCCAACGACAGGTGGGCAGTGGAGGGTCGGGGGCAGGGAGGCCTGGAACGCCCGGCGAGCTGGGGAGGGGGAGCGCGCAGCAGCACAGCCTAAATCGGACCAAACTGAGCCTGGTAAAGTTTCTCCGCCGTTCAGGAGCGCAAAGAACTTTAGAGGAACCAACTAAGTCAGGTACCGAGACTCCTGAAGGTGAAGCCAGCGAGCTTGTGGCCTCGGGACTAATAGGGTCAGTGTCCCATTTGTTACAAGAGCCTGTGTTCCGCGGATTGCCGGTAAGCCCAACAGCATCGGGCTGAGGGCGTGGGGTCCCAGGACAGCCCACACAGCCCTGTATCCGCAATCAAGCGGCTAACTAGAACTCACGTGGGTTCTGTCCGCAGAGGCTGGGCTGTGGTGAGTTATTCTGTTCCCCTTTTGCACACGACTGTTGTAGGACCAGAAGGGAATCCTTGAGGACTAGTGCGGGAGGGAGAGGATGCTTGACGGTGGGACTTTGGGGGTTCCCCAACCGGTGGCGGGTCTCCAGCGGAGCCTCTAGGCGGAGATGAGGTCGGTGGCTAAGGTTTCCTAGCTTTGCCCTACCAGAAGGTGGCGAGGCTATGCCTGCCTTGGTGGGGAAATAGAAACTGATTCCACTTGGGTCTGTCGGGGCGGAGGTGCGAGTTCCTGTGGCCAGATGAGCAGTTAAGCACGACAGCGTCCTGTGTCAGAAGTGTTCATTTAAATGCCACAAGATTTCAACTCTTTTTGTTTAAATAAGAAGATGAGCAATCACAAGTGTTAGTACCTTCTTGCAAGTGGAAAAAGAGTGAATGTGTTGATCTGCTCTGGCCTGACTATGAAAATTCACAGTTGTTTGTGCATATCAGAAAACAGAAATCAATTTCAGCATTATTGTCATGGCAACAGGACGTTAAGTAAACAACCATTCACAGTTACAGTGTCTCTCAAGGCTAATGGACAGGTTCACAGGCCAGAGCAACAGTCTCTGAAGACCAGGTATCTTGGAGGATTTCTTTGCTAGAAAAAAAAAATCTCCAAGGGCAATTTTATGAACTGGAATCCTTCTTGCTTTTATGCACCTGTAAGGGAAGGAGAGAATTTTCTCTTATTTTGCTGAAGTAATTTTCCTTGGTAGCTAGGAGGGCCTGTTGTCTTCCACACCAAGCACAGATTTCCACTGAGACAGGACTTGGCAAGCCTGAGACGTATAAATGTACAATATGGAAGGGAAAGGGCAGGGGGGGTTGATGGTTATTATCAAACAAATATTGGGACATATGAAGCTCTCCCTCCATCTGGAGTATGCAGAATTTGGGACTCTATAACACTAATCCTATCAAAGACTCAGTTTCTATGGAAAAAAACTCAGTAATAGCAGGCACATAATTCTCCTACTGGTTTTTGAGCTAGTTATATTATAATAAAATGTTTTACCTAATTTTTCACAATCATTCACATACATAGTTTTTAATAGCTTTATTGGAATATTATTGACAGACAATAAACTGCACATATTTAAAGGATACGATCTGATAAATTTTGACACGTGAAACCATCATTGCAATCAAGACACTGAACATATATATCACCCCAAAAGTACACTTGGTAATCCCTTTCTCCCACTCTTCTATCTCCATCCTCATCCCCAAGCAACGATTGATTGGCTTTTTGTCACTAGAGAATAGTTTGCATTTTCTAGAATTTTATACAAATGGGATCATAGGATATGTACTCTTTTTGGTCTGGCTTCTTTCACTCAGAATAATTATTTTGAGATTCATTCATGTGTGGGTACCAATAGTTCCTTCCTTTTTATTGCTGAGTAGTATTTCGTTCTATGGATAACCAAAATTTGTTTCTGCTCCTGGGCATTTGGGTTGTTTCCAGTTTATGGCTTTTACCTATAAAAGTGCTGTGAACATTCATGCACAAGTCTATATGGACATATGTTTTCATTCTTCTTGGGTAAATACTTAGGAGTGGAATGGCTGGGTCATACAGTAAGCATATACAACTACCAAACTCTTTTCCAAAATGGTTGTACTTTATGTTCCTGTCAGGAGGGTATGAGAGTCCCCTTTCCTCCGCATCCTCGTCAAGACCTCATATGATTAGTCATTTTAGCTGTTCTAATAGGTGTATAGTGTTATCTCATTGCAGTTTTAATTAGCATTTCCCTAATGACTAATGATGTTGAACATCATTTCATGTACTTATTTCCTACCCATATATCTCCTTTGGTGAAGTATCTGTTCAAATCTTTGATCTGTTTTTAAACCATGTTGTTTGTTTTCTTGTTATTGCCTTTTGAGTTCCGTATGTAATCCAGATATAAGTTCTTTATCAGATATATCATTTGCAAAGATTTTCTTCCAGTCAGGGGCTTGCATTTTCATTCTCTTAACAGTGTCTTTCAAAAAGGAGACATTCTTAAGGTCCAATATATTGACTTTTTTCTTTTTTATATTGTGCATTTAGTGTCATCTCTAAAAAATGCTTGCCAAACCCAAGGTGAAAATATTTTCTCCTGTATTTTCCTCTAGAAGTTTTGTAGATGAATATACAAAGACTGAGAGACTTTACAGAGACAAATACAGAGACTGAACATACAACTGGACACTGGCCAGACCACATATAAAGACAGAACTCTGATCATAACCTCTGCAGCAACCAGCTGGGAAGCCGAACCACATACCCTGCAGCCCTTGGCCATATGTGGTCAGGACTTGGTCAATAACTGCCAGCTTCCCTAATTTTTGCTCCCACTTCCAACTCAGGACCAACCAAAAAAAGTCAAATATGTTCCCCAAACCAATCACCTAGGTTGCCCCATTTCTAGTTAGCTTCCCCCTGCCAAGAACCTCAAATCAGAGCATACCATATCCTTCTCTTCCTTTCACTGTAAAGTGTTCCCACTCCCTTGCTTGTCTTTGAGTCGCTCCAAAATGCAAGTGATAGTGACTGACTCCCTTGTTATAGTGAGCTCTGAATAAATAACCTCATTTGGGTGGTTTTCATTAATTTCCACAGTTTTCCTGGAGGTTCCACCAAGATACCGTCTGTGCTGCTTTGGCTGTGGACCCCAGCCTTTGGGCAGGTGCGGTACATACAGAGGCCCCTCCTGCCTTGCCAATAGTGGCTTGTTGAGTTGGCACCAACGTGGTAAGTCAGCACTGGCTCTGAACTCCTCTTTCTTTGCATTGACTTCTTCTATCAATCAACTGCTATTTTATTAGCAGTTTGCTAATTAGCACTGCTATTGATTCGCAGTTTGGTACCTGGGCGTTGTTATTGGTTCCCATTTGCTTGGTATCCTTGGTGGAATCAGGCATTCTTTTCATTCCTTTTTGCTCTCTTTCGTGTTAGTTTTGTGTTGTGCTGTTAAAAATGTTTGTCATAAGAGGAATCACAAGTTAGAGCACAGGGATAGACCCTATAAGCCTGTTCAAGCTGGCCTCACAATGAGTTTCTGGTTCTCCCTGAACCAAGGTCCATTTGGACAAACTTTGCTGTGAGTCATTAATAAAACCAGATAACTTTCTCTTTTTGTCTAGAGTTTTTGTCCTGAGATCTTGGCTTTAATCAAGAGAAATTGTTCTCTGGTTTTCCACCTGCTGGGGGACGCAGATTATTGGGTCTACGTTCAGAGGCGGCCAACAGTAAGATGGGGGACCCGAGACACAAGGCGCACAAACATTATGTTCCTACTGATGGTCGCCAGCTCTCATGGGGTCTTCTAAGTCTAAATCTTCTCCTCTTCCAGGAAAAACTCCTGCTTCTTATACGTTTACTACTAATTCTTGCACTTATCTTTGTAAATGGCATAACTTCACTAAGGATGATTTGGGCCTTCTGGCCACTCGGGAATATTTGACTTGAACAAAATTGTTCATTTGAGAGGCATCTTAGAAAGGTAAAGGAATAGGATTTCTCAGGACCAGTTGGACAGCAGTTTTTTTTTTTTAATTGATGTATCATTGACATAACATTATATTAGTTTCAGTTGTACAATGTAATGATTCGATATTTTTATATATTGCAAAATGCTCACCACAATAAGTCCAGTTAACATCCATCGCCATACATAGTTACAATATTTTTTTCTTGTAATGAGAACTTTCAAGATCCTCTCTCCTCGCTACTTTCAAATATACAATACAGTATTATTAACTATAATCACCATACTGTGCATTACACCCCCATGACTTATTCATTTTACAACTGGAAATTTGTGTCTTTTCACCCTCTACACCCACTTCGCTCACCTCCCACCCCCTGCCTCAGGCAACCACTAATCTGTTCTCTGTATCCATGAGCTCAATTTTGTTTGTTTGTTTGTTTTTTAAGATTCCACATATAAATGAAATCATACGGTATTTATCTTTTTCTGTCTGACTTATTTCACTTAGCATAATGTCCTCAAGGTCCATCCATGTTGTTACAAATGGCAAGATTTCATTCTTTTTTATGGCTGAATAATATTCCATTACACATATGTATACACCACACTTTCTTTTTTTTTAAATATTGTTTTCAAATTTTCTTGAGAAATAATTGACATATAGCACTGTATAGGTTTAAGGCATACAGCATGATGGTTTCATTTACATATATTGTGAAAGGATTACCACAATTAGGTTCAATTAACATCCATTTTCTTATATAGATAAAATAAAAAGAAAAGAAAGAAAAAAGGAAAATAATTTACTCCTTGTGATGAAAAGTCTTAGGATTTACTCTCTTAACAACTTTCCTATATGTTATACAGCAGTGTTAGCTATAGTCATCATGTTGTACATTACATCCCTAGTAATTATTTATCTTATAACGGGAAGTTTGTACTTTTTGACCATCTTCCTCTAGTTCCCTCTCTCCCTCCCCTCTGCTTCTGGTAACTGCAAGTTTGATTTCTTTTTCTATGAGTTTGGTTTTTTTGTTTTCCCAATTCCACATGTAAGTGAGATCATACAGTATTTGTCTTTATCTGAACTATTTCACTTAGCATAATGCCTTCAAGGTCCATCCATATTGTTACAAATAGCAGGATTTCCTCTTTTTTTTTTTTTTTTTTGGTGAAGAAGATTGTCCCTGAGCTAACATCTGTGACAATCTTCCTCTATTTTGTATGTGAGACGCTGCCACAGCATGGCTTGATGAGTGGTGTGTAGGTCTGTGCCTGGGGTCCAAACCTGCAAACCCCTGGCCGCTGAAGAGGAAGCGTGCAAACTTAACCATTATGCCATGGGGCTGGCCCCAAGATTTCCTCTTTTTTTAATGGCTGAATAATATTCCTATATACCACAGCTTCTTTATCTGTTCATCCACTGATGAACACTTACGTTGTTTCCATGTCTTGGCTATTATAAATAATGCTGCAGTGAACATGGGGGTGCAGATACCTTTTCGAGTTAGTGTTTTCTTTTCCTTTGTATATATTCCCAGAAATAGAATTGCTGGATCATATGGTAGTTCTATTTGTAATTTTTTGAGGATCCTCCATACTGTTTTCCATAGTGGCTGTACCAATTTACCATCCCACCAACAGCGCACAAGTGTTCCCTTTTCTCCACATCCATGTCAGCATGTGCTATCTCTTGTCTTTTTGATGATGGCCATTCTAACAGATGTGAGGTTATATCTCAGTGTGGTTTTAATTTGTATTTCTCTAATAACGAGTGATGTTGAGCATCTTTTCATGTACCTGTTGGCCTTTCGTATATCTTCTTTGGATAAATGTTTATTCATGTCCTTTGCCCAATTTTTAATTAGGTTATTTGTTTTTTTTGCTATTGAGTTGTATGAGTTCTTTATATATTTTGGATATTAACCCCTTATCAGATATATGGTTTGCAAATGTTTTTTCCCATCCCGTAGGTTGTCTTTTCACTTTGTTGATGGTTTCTTTGCAGAAGCTTTTTAGTTTGATGTAGTCCCACTTGTTTATTTTTTATTTTGTTTCTTGTGCTTTAGGTGTCATATCCAAAATATCATTGCCAAGACCCATGTCAAGGAGGTTTATTCTTATGTTTTTTCTAGGAGTTTCATGGTTTCAGGTCTTATATTTAAGTCTTTAATCCATTTTGAGTTAATTTTTGTGAGTGGTATAAGATATGGGTACAGTTTTATTCTTTTACATGTGAATATCCAATTAAACCAGCACCATTTATTGAAGAAATTGCCTTTTCTCCATTGAGTATTCTTGGCTTCGTTATCAAGTATTAGTTGAACATATATGCTTGGGTTTATTTCTGGCCTCTTAATTCTGTTCCATTGGTTTATTTGTCTGTTTTTATGCCAGTACAATACTGTTTTGATGACTACAGCTTTATAGCATAGCTTGAAAATGGGAAGTGTAGTGCCTCATGCTTTGTTCTTCTTTCTCAGGATTTCTTTGGCTATTTGGGGTCTTTTATGGTTCCATGTAAATTTTAGGAGTTATACTGAATTTTCTTTATCCATTCATCCATCAATGGACATTTAGGTTGCTTCCATGTCTTGGCTATTGTAAACAATGCTGCAGTGAACATGGGGGTGCCTATATCTCTTCAGATTAGTTTTTGTTTTCTTTGGATAAATACCCAGAAGTGGAATTGCTGGATCATATGGTAGTTTCACTTTCAATTTTTTGAGGAACCTCCATCCTGTTTCCCATAATGGCTGCACCAATTTACATTCCCACTAACAGTGCACAAGAGTTCCCTTGTCTCCATATCCTGGTCAACATTTGTTATTTCTTATCTTTTTGATAATAGTCATTCTAACAGGTGTGAGGTGAGATCTCATTGTGTTTGGATTTGCATTTCCCTGGCGATTAGTGATGTTGAGCATCTTTTCATGCACCTGCTGGACACCTGGATGTCTTCTTTGGATAAATGTCTATTCAGATCCTCTGCCCATTTTTTAATTGGATTGTTTGTTTTGTTGCTATTGAGTTGTGTGAATTCTTTTTATGTTTTGAATATTAACACCTTATCAAATATGATTTGCAAATGTTTTCTCCCACTTGGCAAGTCGTGTTTTCATTTTGTTGATCGTTTCCTTTGCTGTGTAGAAGCTTTTTAGTTTGATGTAGTCCCACTTGTTTATTTTTGCTTTTGTGGCCTTTGCTTTTGGTGTCAAATCCAAGAAATCTTCACCAAGATTGATGTCAAAGAGCTTACTGCCTATGTTTTCTTCTAAGAGTTTTACAGTTGCAGGTCTTACATTCAAGTCTTTAATCCATTTGGAGTTAATTTTTGTGTATGGTGTAAGATAAAGGTCCAGTTTCATTCTTTTGCATATGGCTGTCCAGTTTTTCCAACACCATTTATTGAAGAAACTGTCCTTTTCCCACTGTATATTCCATAAATTAACTGACCATATATATGTGAGTTTATTTCTGAGCTCTCTATTTTGTTCCATTGATCTATGTGTTTGTTTTAATACCAATACCATACTGTTTTGATTACTATAGCTTTGTAATATAGTTTGAAATAAACGAGTGTGATATCTCCAGCTTTGTTCTTTCTCAAGATTGCTTTGGCTATTTGGGGCCTTGGGCAGCAGTTTTGATCAGTATGCAGAGGCCTCCAATTGAAATTCTGAATCAAAAACTCCTTCACTAAAAGATTCTTTGCCCAAAGCTAATGAACAATTAACAAACTAGACTCTTTCCCTAGCAAGTCCTCCCCATCCTGGTCTTTCAGTTGCCTCTCTGTATCTAGCTCTCTTTTTCCCCTTATCCTTCTGATTTTTCTCTTGCTTCTCAGTCATCTTCTCCCTCTTCTTCCCCTTATTCAGACCCGCTATCTTTAACCAACGACTCTCCTAAAACCCCAAAATGTCACTTACCTCTAAAGATCTACCACTGCCATGAGCCAGGTGTACAGGCAACTGTAGAATTTAAACTTTGGACCCAAGCTGAATTAAGAGCTATACTTAAAGATTTCCCTAAACCCAGAAAAGGCCAGCAAATATTCATAGAAGAATTTAGAATTCTTTTGGGTGCACATAACCCAGGATTACGTAACCTATATCAACTCGTACATTTGTTGGTCAGAAATTCGAATGCTAAATCCTGGATGGCAAAGCTCATTGGGCTAACTCCGAAGGGGACCC